TATATATATATATATATATATATATATATATATAAAGGGAAATCACCAACCTCGTATTGGATCACACGGACTCGGTGAGGAAGTCAACGATGTCTTTGCGTCCGTCGTCGAAATGCATCCATTAAACGTGCACGTCGCATGCGCCTCATGCAGATCGCGTGGAGGAGAGACCGAGGCTCAAACGCAACGAGAGCTTTGCGTCTCTCGTTGCGTGTTGGTCAACGTGCAAATGAGTTGACACAAGATATTTATTTAGCGAATTATTTTATTGATTGACAAGCGTCAAGGCTCGAAATCTATTTGTATTATTGATGAGGTGACACCCAACATGCTATTCAATCTCGGTATTTAGTAAGATTTTAATTCAACTCTGTACAATGGGATGATTGATGTTTATTATTCTTACTGATGGAAAGAGCAATTGCCTATTAAATAATCATTGGAGGCGGGTGGGGTGAAGTAATAATGGGAACATGTTTCACACTGGTAAAGACCTCCTAATTTGCTTCTATGTTTTGTGACAAGAGTGCAATGACCTCTTGTAGACTCTAGCAATCAGTCAAGAATGGTGTTCATGGTGGCAGCAGATCTAGCAATCAGTCAAGAAACAGAAATTGCACCAAATTTTGTAGAAAATACAAAGATGAAGCTCAGTTGCATACGTTTCGGGGAAAGAAAGCTGAAATAATAGCACAAAGAAAGAGTGCCAAAACAAAAATTCTGTAACTTGTTGGCACACCATTTTATTTTTTGTTGGTCCACTGAATCTCAACAAAGAAAGAAAAGTATCATATGATCAAAGGTGTTGCTAGTTGAATTTCTGCTGAGAAGATGCCGCCGACACAATTCCTTGATGGATATCAAACTCACTCTTGAAAAGAACGCGTGATCGTTGCGAGCTCCTTCGCAAGGACCCTACAATTTTAGTCCAGAGTGAATGGCAACCACCCCACCAACTAGATTCTCGTATTCCACCTTCTGAAAGCCTGCATCGACAATCATCCGACCGAATGCATCCTGCATAGTCAAAGCCATGGTCATGATCATGCATGCAAGAATCCACTGACACATGACGACACTCAATTTTGTTCTCATGGAACAGCTTTAAACTATTCTTTCTTTTCTACAATTTGGAACTACAGAACATGTGGTCCATGACAGCAAGAACAAGGTAATATTTCATCTAAGGGTGTTCCGGCACACCGTTGGCACCGAACAATCACCATGCAGATGTCACATGAGCACCGTACAGCATGTATGAAACAATAAGAAACTTAACATTACCATCAGGATCACACATAGTTTAGCAGTTCAATGAAACTACCAATGATTGGTACTCTTTTCATCACAAGTTCTACATGTCCTGCTGGTTTCAAAATTATTTCCAATTAACAGAAAGGTCAACTGCATGGTCCACTGCAACAGTATCTGAAAGATCACAGCAAGGTGTTCTATGCATACTTGTGAGAGGCTTAAATCAATGTCCAGGCACTTCCTCATATGCAAGTTCATAAGAAACCATTACCTGATTAGGAAATCGCCGGATGCTCTCAACCAAGTATTGGTAAGACTCTCTATCACCAGCGACAAGCTCTCCAACAGCAGGAATGACCGAAAAGGAATAGTAATCATAGCTGCAAATACAGACCCAACGTCAAGCAAGTTGGACAGGAATATCAGCAAGACCCCCATTCACTTCAGTCGATTGCATTTGTAATAGGAATTTCTCAATAAGTTGAAGGATTGAACAATGGATAAATATGATAAGACAAGTCAAACTTACAGCTGTTTAAAGACAGGAAACTCCACATGGCTCAACTCAAGGCATAAGAATCTGCCACCCCGCTTTAGGACTCTGTATGTAAACATACAAACAAGATAAAAGTGTAAAAGAAACCATATCGTGTAAGACTGGGATATAGGTCATCTGATCTTTCTTGAATAGGTAACTAACTATTAGACACTATTAGAGAAGGCAAGATCATCCATATTCAAGACTATATGTAAGTTATCGATTCATTATTTCAATAAACAATCAATTTGAGCACTATGGAAGACGAGTGGTACCATCCCAATATTCTATCATGTCTATCTAATTCATGAATGATCTAGAGAAATGCTGATTTCTTATCTGGACCAAACAACACCAACAGCATTATGTAGAACTTCAAGAACATTACCTATAAGCTTCCGCAAGAGCTTTCTCAATGTGTGTCACATTTCTGATACCAAAACCGATGGTGTAACCATCCATTGACTCATCCTCAAAACTCAAAGCTTCTGCATCTCCTTCTACCCAGTGAAGATAGCGGTCCTCCGCAAATCCTACATGAGGAAACTGAACTCATTATTTAAAAAGGTAGCAACAAAGAGGCTCATAAAGCAAGCTCATATGACATAGCGTAATAATAAACCTCTCTCAATAGCACGTTTCTTGCCGATATTCAACATGTTTGGGTTAATGTCACATATGTAAATTTGTGTCTGTTCCTCAGTTTCAGCAAAGCCATCCTGCATGGCTCTGCGACTCACACTCCTTATACTCTCAAGGACACGGAAGGCTATGTCACCTGCACTAAGAATATCTTGCCAATATAAGCTTTCAAATAATCATAGTTTATCAAATTATTGCTGGATTAAGTACTTATTAAGTTAGGTTCCTGCTGGAATCATCTGACAGAGATCAAAGTTGACCATTATATTTGGGCTGGTTTGTCCCCTCCACCCCCTCCAAAAACAAAATGCAAGCACATACATGAATGCATGACGATAAACCATGATAGGTGGTCATGGAGACCCATATAAAACCATCCTGGTTATAGACTCCAGCATTTCATTTTGGCTAAATCTTGGTACAATAGTGCACCAGATAAATGAGTGGTTAACACATACATGTTCACATTAATTTTGCTAAATAAAAAAAAACAAAATCAAAGAAAGGTTAGACCATAAGACAAAATGGAAGATGATAAAAAAATAGGATGAAATAAAGAATCGATATGATTTTATTATAGTGTGTCATAAGGACAAAGACACGATGCTGATAACAACTAAGAGAGGAGGAAATACCATTTAAGATGGTATGATATGTCCATAGTAAAGCTATAGATGCACTGGTCAGGCAAAGTGAGGTCGACTTGGATTAGTAGTGCAGAGATACAAAACTTTATTAGAAAAAAAAAAGAGGTAATAATAGTTTTTTATGTTAACTAGTAATATGGTCATCAATGGAACTAACAATACGAAATGATTTGTGCACTCAATCCAAATGGTCAGGACTTCTTCGTTGGTTGTGACTGGTAGAAAATATGCTTGTCATTTCTAAGTGTTATAGTCGAAGGCATCCTCGTCCGTAGAATCATTAATCTACCTGTCCCGCCAGCCACATCAAGGTGCTTCATTCCAGGAAAAGGACCCAACTTTGTAACCAATCTGAAGTTTTCCAAAAGAAGGTAATTATCAGCTATAGAACATTTAGTTATGGACACACAAGTCAACATACAAGTGGCCCAACCTGTCCTTCCACAATCTGTGCAATCCAATACTCATCAGATCATTCATCAGATCATAGTTTGAAGCGACACTACTGAAGACATTACCAACCAATTTACTTTTTTCTTCTTCTCGGACTTCCTTAAATCCTGCATCAGAAGTTAGTGATCCATTTGACAAAGTGACAAAATTATGAATGCAAGTAAATAACAGAAAATACATCATTTGCTACAAGTTGCATGATGATTTGAGGAAACAACAAGTAGAATACAAATTCCAGAACATAACAGATTTCAAACATCTAACACCTACCTTACATACATCCTATCTGTTTGAGGTGCTAATATGTTACACAAACCAAGAGAGACCAAGACTTCCCTGCTTCTTTTCTTCATTGAATAATAAATGCTACCAGCCAAGCCATACAGATATTTTGAGGTGCTCAATAAATGGCAAGTTCAGTTCCATTACAAGAAATATAAATTGCGGCTGGACTTTATCTGAGAGAAAGATGCAAGAAATAAAAGAAAACAAGTATAAATGTGTGCACGAAAAAGTTTAAGCAAGCTTTAACAATCAAATAATACACATCTAAAAAACATTTAAAAATGATAAAATCAACAGCAAACTGAAACAAGAGCAGAACTGAACCAAGTCAATATATAAACATAAAAGAAAACGCAGGAGAGAAGAAAAGCCTAATAAAGAAAAACCATAAAAAATAATGGAACATGATTAGTAGTACCGAAGCTGGTGGCATGTGAATGAAGATATGAAGCTCTCCGAGGAAGGAGAAACTTCAAACTGTTGACTAGTTTGCATGTGCTCCTTTGCAATGCCATGGATCGGCTCTTGCCGCTCCCCCTTTGAATCAAGAATCAAATAGAAGTTCACAAGGATCTGCTATTGAGAAGAAGAAAATTCATAATTGATAGCAACCCATTCAATTCAACGGGGAAGAAGAAAGCTACCAAGGAATATACCATACCATGTGAACAAACCATATAGCAACCAGGGATTTAAATTTTGAATTGTACCGCCCATACCAGATAGTACGCTTGATATAGCCCTGTATCGGACGATACGGTCGAAATTTCGACTGTTATCGCCTGGTACAGATCGATAACGATCGATTCCAATAGTCAATTTGACTGTTGCACAAGACTATTCCTCAAAGCATGAAAAAGATATGTGATACTATTCTTACCTAATTTACATTAGTTTTACTAAACCTATACTAAATATATATTTATTTCTAACTTAGAAACACTATCCTAACGTTTTTTTTTCTATCTTTCGAGTATTTTCGAAAGATTTTATGCCTAAATTAGGTGTACCGTTCGATATGTCATATCGTACCATATCAATCAAAGCTCAATGTACCAGTATGGTATGAAATTTCAATCTTTGACAACCAAAAAAATTCACTCATGCTTTTTAAAAAAATATATATGATTGTCTTTTGTGAAAAAAAATATTTCCTATGGCAAACTCTAACTATCAGCCTCTGACGAACCTAAACACTCATGCTTGGTTCATAGTAGTAGGATTCATCAATATATCACATCGAACATTCATGATAAACATTATCATGCTGATCTCAATTAATCGAACAGAAAACTACACCTGAAGATCCACGGGCTGATAGGTTTAATGGTGCTCGGATGAAAGAGAGAATACTGCGTGCTGCCTTCGGCCAAGCAGGGGAAGGAGGGCGGGGATGAGAAGGGAGGAGGAGATGAGATGAGAGGTCAGGAGAGATACGAGACCTTAGATCAGGAGAGAAGAGTATCAGCGGCAGAGAGGAGCAGTGAAGCAGCGGCGGAAGGGATCGGCCGGCGGAAGCAAGCTAGGGCGTGGCCTCGTTGCGTCTGGAGCTGTGGACGTTGGAAATTTTGTTTAATCTTTTTCTTTTTGTTGGGACGGGCTGTTGAGTCGGCCCTCGATCAGGCCCAGTCCATTTAGAATCCGGTCCAGCGATCGGGCCAATTCGGCAAGGTCGATCAGATCAGGACCGTCCGATCGGAATCAAGGGAAATGAAAGCTCCATTATACTTTGGCTCGGGTAGTCATTACAAAACATAAATCAACCGTGTCACTAACAAAGTTAAAAGAAGAAGAAAACAACCACCAATCTAAGTAATTGTTTCTGTATCATAACTAATGCCCCCGCCACTATTTTCGATATGCACAAAATAAAAGAGAACAACAGCAATCATCTCACTAGATATCCTTTTTTCCTCTTTTTAATTAAAATCTTGCCTGACGGATTGGAGCACAAGAAGGTGACTAAAGTTGGGTTCTCAATCATCGGAGCCCATGCGTGATGTGATGTACGAGCCATCGAGGGGCCTACACACCTGAAGGCCGCTCAAAATGGTCGACGTACAACCGCAAGAATTGATCCTTCAGACAATATAAATCTTAATCAGCACTCGCCCAGAGTTATATGTAATGGTTGACGATATATAGATATAATTATCAAGTGCAGCAGCCGAAATGACAGAAACAATAGACTTTCCTTTTAAGTGGTTTCAAATATAGCAGTGAGTAGAACAAAATATCAGGGGTCATGGTAGACCTCAATTTTTAACAGAATCTACATTTGAGCTAAAAATTAGAAAGGGACATCTTCTGGAATCTGTCAACTTTATGCAGCTAATGTGTATTCAAAAACATTATTCCTCGTCTGAGTGATCTCTTGGCCTGTCAGTCTGCAAACGTTGCACAGCTGTTTCAATTTCTCAAAACCGCCTGCTTGCGTAACATCTGCACGGTTTTTAAATGGTGCGCTCAACTAAGTTGTCGCACCTGCAGCGTTTGTCTGATGCTTTCTTTCGGTGCAATAACAATTTCCACATTCATCTGTTTTTTTCTATCATGTTGTTCTCCTCTACTTTCCAATAAAGCAAAAAGATTCTGTCATATACCACCACCTATTAATCTTCCTCATCTGCTAGTAACTTGAATGAGAAAGGCTTGAATTTGTAGCCATCACCGTGGTAGAACTTGCCCATGAATTCAACCCAATGAAGACGCAAGGCGTGAAGGAACGCACTAAGGGTTTCCATCATAAGCAAAATGAATGCTGTTGCAAAAGCGAAGACAGCGAGCCCTGCTATCCGGATGATGACACTGTCATACCTGCACACATGATTTTCTCAAATAAACCAAAGTCACAAACTCCTGGTGTCTCATATATTTAAATTGCCTTCGTAGCAGCATAACAAGATTCTAGCAGAATAGAACAACACTAGATGGTCTTAGGGATCATCAATTCTGAAACTTGAATATAATTAAATCAGTTATTTACTAACTGTAAGGAAAATATTTACATAAAGGAAGCAGCAACATATTAAATTATTGTTCAAACTCACCCCCATGCGAGCAGAAGCAATTTCTCATAGAAGACAGTTGACAATTCTGAGTGTGCCAAGCTGAGTAACAAAAGAAACCAGAAAATCCAATAAATACTGTGTTGACCATAAAGAAAAAACTTGTCAGAGCTAATGTTACATACCTCAGGGCCCAAAGACGGAGGTAAGATGCAGTGTTCGAGACGGCACCAAGAACAAACTCAATAGAATGTATCATCTGATGCACAAATACCTCACTAAAATTGAAGTCTTCATGGTGCTGCCTCCTTGCAGAATCGGGATCATGATCAACATCCATTTCTGATGTCCCAAGGATACCATAAGTCCGGCCTTGAAATCTCTACCCAAGACACCATGCACACTGTAATAGCTGTATAGCATATTCTCTAAAAAAATTCATGCATCTAATAATTATAGCTGAGACTAAGTCTCATGTCTTGTTAAAAAATGTACATAGACAAACAAATGTATCAAGAAAATTGAGATGATGAAGGAAACTCAGTTCTAATTTTCTCTTAAAGTAAACAAATAGCTTTCAAGCTCATCATGAGCTATATCCCGTCATGACATAAACTAGAGAAAATAAAGCAGAAAACATCATCAGCTGCTTAATGACATTGTGTTTCCCATTAAACTAACAAGTAACATTATTTAAACTATGATAAGTTATATATACAGTAAGCAAGAGAATCAAGCAGCTACTATTGCGTGTAAGTTGGTCAATGACATCGCTTGAACATCCCAATGCAGATTTTTTAAATAACCAGACTCATCCATGATCTGGAGCAGTAATCAAAAGCTAAGAACTAAAATTCTACCTCTGTATGAAGCTTTCTCAAGATGAATGGTTTTGGAAAGAGCATCCAAGGAACTGCTACGATAGCCATAAGCAATAACAATATCTGCATTCCGAAACAAGCAAACTTTAATTGTGGAGCACAGTGAAAACTTACAGATCATCATTTTGTAAAGAAGAATACAATGTGTACAACCTGCAATTCTTTCTGACCCCAAAACAACTTATTTTCTCCAAGATCCCCGGTTGGGTTAAGGAACATATAAATCATAACATGATACAAATCAGCTTGAGATCCTGTGCACCATTTGATGACAATAAGGAGTGCGAGATAACCAAAGAGGCTGTTGAGAAAGATCATCTGTGGCATAAACTGATACCTGAAAAAGGAGTAAGAAATCAGAATCTCTCAACCTTAAGTTGGTTGGTAAGATTAGACACACAAAATATACCAAGCATATCTACTACATACCGTACATCAAGGGAGCTTCCATGAAACTTTGCATCAAAGTAACTCAGTATGATGCCTAAGTTCATCTGGGACACACCTAATAATATTGACATCTTCATTTTGAGGGAGTTCAGAAAGGGCAATTCAGATCGACTCCCACGCCATCTTGGATCCACGCCAAATGGATATGGATCACGATACTTAATAAGGCCAGCAGTATGTGCATCACTGAAGCATGCAAAGAAAACAAATTAATTAGAAGTAGCAATCTAACAAGAAAATTTGGAACTCAGAATGTGACGTTCATAGAAAACTTTAAGATTAGCACAAAATCAATTAATTAATTCGCAAGATATCAGAAATGTAATTTGATAGTAATTGAATCAAGCTGTGGCAATGAAACAAAATCTTAAGAAGCACAGGCAGCTGAATGAAAATAAAAACTAAATGGTTTGCACTGAAGATAATAGGAATATAAATAACACAAATATGTAATGAACTTGTAAAAACAACTAACGCAAGGTGATCTTTGCTCATAAGACACTTCAGATGGCTAACATATGGGTTGAGTTTATCTATCAATATCTTGAATTAACGGTCAAAGAATATAGTCCTAACATTATTTATAATTAGTTAGATTATTATCTCTTAGTTCATTGCTTTGAAATAAAACCATCTAAGTGAAATAACAGTAACATATAAGTGAAATAAAACCATCTAATCTTAAAACACATTAAACTAGCATTGCACAACATCTGAACCACAAGTAGGTACAGTATTCAAGTCTAACAATCCTGGGCTACTTTGAGCATCATATGGAATACTTATATCCGAATAGAACAGACTCATCAATAATTAACAACGAAACTACAGATATGAACATTATTAAACCTGCAACTGCTATCCCGGCATTTATAAGCAGATTTGCCAAAGATCTGGAAAGGAACAGAGAAAAATTCATTGTATATCAGTCCACAATATATTGAAAAAAGTGCCATCAGAAGTACTACATAACGCCCGCCAAATGCCATCTCCATAAAGCTACCAAGTTTCTGGAAAAAAAAGAAAAAAGTTATTAATTACCTTATGCAAATAGCAGTTAATTTGGCAGTCTTTAGGTAGAAGAATAATCAGCTCTGACATAAAAGATATAGATCGAAGGCAATTGTACCATTAACTTTGAAATACTATGAACTGATGACAAAAGTAATCACAACAACAACAAATGATTGAAGGTGCCAAGCATATCTTTCAAATCTTATATAAACAAACTAATGGTTTAACTAGACTCTATATTTCAAAGATCAGCAGACTCAGCAACTCCTTATATATGACATAAGATGTGAAGCAAGCAAATTTTAAATAAATGTTTTAGCTGGCATATGAACATATCATTGTATCTGAGTGTTGGGCATATAAACATATTATAAGACAGCTGGCATATGAACATATCATTTTAAATAAATGTTTTAGCTGACATATGAATATATTATAAGATAATTGTGAGACGAACAATATTTTTATGAATCAGAGTGTTGGTCAGTTAAAAAGCAACATATAAAAAAAAATTGTGTTACCGAGATGAGAATATTGAGATGGATGTTTAGAGTTACTAGGAAAAAATAGAAAAAGAAATACTTTTATTCGTGAACCAATCCATTGCTAAAGAATCTTCAATGTTGTACTCTCTCAACAAGAACAACCTAGAGACAGGAAAAAAAGTATCAATCATCCTTTTAGGCACACTTGGGATTTCTAGGGGCAGGCGGAAAGTGACTTAATTAAAGCATCTTAGGACATCTTACATCAAAAAGAAATACCATGATAATACTTGCCATGCAAGCTATGTAGCATGACACACTGATGTACAGTTTCAGAATGATAAGATGGTGATTGGTGTGCTCATCTGCAAAGCTGAGCATGTGATAAGGCATGTGATAAACAAAATTCAACATTGCGCATCACACATGCCACTACCATGCTGACTCCTTGATTGACATTTAAGGAACCCTTAGCAAATTCATACACAGTACAACATCCAACAAAATATTCTACCTCAAAATTCAAGCTAAAAAGACTACCTGAGATCCCAGCTTTTTCTCACGAAGGATAAGAATCAGTGATCCCAGCAACAAGCATAACCCATGGCCCCAGTCACCAAACATTACAGCAAAAAGAAATGGGAAGGTTATGACAGAGTATACAGCAGGATTTGCTTCTTGGTATCTAGCAACACTGCACAATAACAAATTGAATTATTAATGGAAAGCCAACATAAATTACCAAGTGTGAATTATTCTTCATTATGCATACTTGTATAGAACCATTCTTTAATCATCAATTCTTCTTTATCTTCCTTACAAATCGATCTCTCCACGGGACTAGGTGGTCAATTATGTCACAGACTATTCTTTTGTAAATTGTGTGAGAAAATTTGAACTTTAGAAGATCGATAGGAACTATTTAAGACAAAGAAATTATTCAATATCAAGTTCCATGGTGTTTGTTGTTAGCTAATGGCACTCTTTCAATTCAAAAGGTAGTAGAAATGAACTCCAAGATAGGAGACTCTCGACAACTAGAAATTTTGAGATAGAGAATTAAAATCAAATATATAATTACAAAAACAAAACATGGACATTTCAATATACTTCATAACCATATTAGTACTATTTGTCCATTTCAAATAGCTAAGAATGGTTATGGGACAATTAGAATAAGAAAAGAATTGCAATATAATTAAACATACAAGATACAGGTGGAGGTTAAATGATAACAAAACTAGATACAACGCAGCAGGTACATTCAATATCTGACTTTGGATAAATGATTAAATACTGTCACTGCAGAGACTCATGTAGTCATCTCAATCCAGCATGTGATATTTAATTGGTCTTGGATGAAAATGTCTACAAGTATCAGAAAGCAAATGTCAAAATGTCTGCCATTAGAGTTTCAAGGACAAACCCATATGCGTCAACAATTTCCTGAAATGCATGTGTGAACCAATTTGTTCTGAAATATGTCGGGGGAGATTCAAAAGAATCCATGTCATGAAATATTATCCCCACTTGAGAATTGCTATGAATTGATGCATGTTCCAAAGCCTCCTTGATCTGTGGCAAAAAAAGAAAAAAAAAAAAACAACAAAAACATCTTATTTCTATACTAAATATAATACCAACAAACAATTTACATTAAGCTGGGATGCAGCTTGGTGAACACAATAATATAACAAAAATTATCACCTGGGGTTTAGCAAATGTTGGACACCATCCTTCTCCAACAAGGCATTTTTTTGTAACGTCAAAGTTGAGCATATTCAATGTGTCATACACACCTTTCTCTTTTTTCACCTAAAATATAAAACAATGAAAATCAGCAGTGCAGCTCCTGCCCTTATTACAGTAAGTTAGCATATATTTAAGCATCATTGGAAAACTAGTTTCAACTATAAGCCAAATAACAATTAAAATTAACTAGAAGAAGAGGAACTGGGAGTTAACCAGCTATACCATGATTATCCAATTCCACAGTTGAGAAGCAATTGAAGCTAAGGCCTTATTTCTATGACGGTTTCCAGCATCCAGTGTTGCTTCTAACTCAGACAAACGCAATGAAACCTAGATGAGGATAGTAACGAGTCAATATAAACTTAATCATTCTAAATTTCTCATGCAATAAAGCAATAATGTGAATTCCCCAGCTTCAATGATAGATGAAGAGACATCTAAAAGCTCCAGCTGTTCATAATTTTTTATGCAGTTCTCATGCCACAGAGACATTATTAATTGACCATGCACTAACTGCTAAAGCGTTTTAACACTATAAGCTCACTAAGGGGTATTATGCCTGGCAAATAGAGCAAAAATTAACTATTTCATCATCATTTAGTATCATCAAACAAAACTCAATAGTCAAAAAAGACTTGTTCAGTATTTGACTCTTCAAAATATCTATAGTTTCAAGATAGCTTTGATTCATGAGACCCCGAAAACAGTTGAATGGAAAAACTAAAAAAAAGCTCACATGTTGCATAAACCTCACAGCAATGTGGGGTCTAGGGCACATATAGTTCGTGATACAGTTGCCTCTGTTAAATATGAGAACAAAGAAAAGGATCACACAAAAGATCAGTACATAACTAGTTCATTTTTGCAAAAGGTTATGTTCCACAAATATTGAATTTCTATATGCTAGACTAGACTTGAGCAACCCTTGACTGCTGAGCTTGGTTGTTTGTCCATATGCAACTTGCAGCCCTTGCCAAGAGTATACCATGCTGAAATGTTAATTATCTGAGTGAAGACACTGAGGATGACATGAATGGTTTGGATACAGTAGAAATTAGCATACCTCACGAGTCAGTTGCATCTGTTTACTATTCTCTTCCGGCACAGGATAGCAACTTGCTCCAAATGCTTGACAAATTTTCAGTATTTTATTTTTAGCCTGCTCCCCTGAAAAGAAAACTACAAAGACTGTCTTTTCTACCTGCATAAAATGAGAAGAGAATATGAATAGAGACATGTTTAAACATGTCGTAAGGCATTAACAGACAAGCATGAACCTACAGAAAAGATTAGTTTCTTTGCCAATAAAATCTTCCAAGTAAATAGAATTCATTGAAGGTAAAATTTTTCATAAACTGGATGGGCACAGTTCAAAAGCATTCAGTTTATATTAGAAGAGTCAGACTGGGGTAAAGGTATGCATACCATTTCACCAGACACTGGATCCATAACCTGTTCCCCGGCAGGTGCCTGATTGAAGAACATATTGCCCCTAGTAGCTCGGAAAAGCATCCTCTCAAATGTCAACTCCTTTGACTTACATATAATCCCACTGATGAATCTCAAGCCAGCTTTACTTGAAGGCTCAGGCTGCACAGACTATAATGATATGCATGTCACAATAAGCAAAAGGCAGAAGAGCAATTAATTACTAACCATCATTAGTCAATTAGAAGAAGAAAACCTGTTCAAGCAAAAATAGGCTCTCATCATCTTTCTTGGAGTATATACTTTCAACTAACTCTGTCTCAGCTGGAACTGCATGATTTTGAGCTGCAACAAGAAACCCACCTGCCTGGAATAAAAAATCTAATAAGTGCAGGTCCAGTGACAGGCATATACATTGTTTGTCTACCAAGAACATCACAACTAGCATATTCCGTCTTCCTATTTATATATATTAATATATGCATGCCTTCAAATTACACTTCAAACGTGCTCACAAAGGGCCCGAGAATGTGAGCCCTAAAAGTCCTAATTAAATGGATCAAAGCAGGCCTGTTTTACTGCATCGAAGCAGACCACTCGAAACGAGGATGGTCTATGTACCACCTGTTTGGTACCGGTCTGAGCGATGGTGCATACCGGTCCGCATGAGACCAACGGTATGTACCGGTTCGCACGAGACTGGCCGTCCATGGTAAGGACAACAAAACCTCGTGCTTGACAAGGCTGAAAAGCATTTAACAAGCTACAAACAAATTGAAAGTCAACAAGAGGCTACAACAAAATAAATAGTAAAGCTGACAAGCTAAAAAACTTTGTTTTGAAGTAAAACATATGATCTCTAACAAACACACCCACACATGACATTGATGACCAGATAAAAATGAAGTTATACTTGCATCAAAATATATAAAAGTAACTTAGCAAATTACCTTTAATAACACCAACTTAAATTCAAGGAGCTCATTGTATGTTTGCCGTAATTTCTCACTATTTGCATTCATTTCTAGAAGTTCAGCCTCATGTTCGCTCAATCGCACCTGAAACAAGAGAGTAGATATTCAAAATAAATAGAAGATTGAAGATCCCAGATTCCAAATGGATAAACTCAAACACAAAAAGGATCTTTCTTATTCTAAAATGCAAGGTTCGTCATACCACGGCATACCGCCTGGTATGGGCAATTTGTACCGGTCCAATAAAGGACTGGTATGGGTAATACATACCGATTTGTTGGTATGCCCCACCATACCATATGTCGGTATGTCGCTATAGTTCGGTACGTATTGTATCGATGATCGATTGGTACACCAGTAAAGATTGGTAAGATGAACCGTGCTAACATGTGAACAAATAATATTTTAATTATGAAAAAGATGACAAAATACAAGTTCAATGGGATATGCAATTTACCTCTAGCTCTTCCAAGTCAATAACTTGTTGTGAAGCAGGACAAGGAGAAGCTGTAATACCAGCCTTACTAATCTGGTCGCCGAAAAATCTTAACTTGCGTGACATTTCCCCACATCGCTTCACCTATTCGATCAGCGAAACATATAATGTCAAATACAATTATGATTCATCAGGATGTATGATCTGCTATGGTTGTAAATATGAGATGAAAAAAAAGGTAAAACTCAAGAAAAAGGGCAAAAACCATCTAAATATTCATGTAGTTACAGAAATCTTAACATATGATCATTTGGACATTATCATCCAAGTGCTGCAAGGCCCCCTCCATTGGAAGAGAGAAACAAATACACTGAAGATCTCCAGGAGCAAGTACTCTTTAATCAGGACTTATTTGCAATTACTTGAAGCTTCTTAGAAGGGAAAACAGAAAAGAATAATTATATCATTCAAATTCGTCAACACAAAAAAAAAATGCCACCAACCATGTGCAAGTGACTGATTATAATCATAAACCCACCAAATTAAGGGGCAGCAGATGAAGTTAAAAAACATTACATTGTCCACATAAACTGCAAGTCAAGCCATGTCTAGAGACAGTTCTCAGACATTAAAGAATGTGTTAAACATCAGATTTAAAGCAAATACTAACAGTCAAAATAAGTCAATCACTAAAGCATAATATGTTCGTTAAGCATCACTGCATTCTGTGGAGCATGGACATGAACGCAGCTTGGACATATGCTGACACAGAAATCTTATGGCAGGGAAAAGTGAAAAACAACTGAAATCAGTATATTCTTAAAAATTGTTTTTGCAATTTTATATTTTGTACAATATAGACAATAAAATCAGATCATCATGGATAAAACATATTAGAAAAATAACCACTCAGACAAGTAGGAACTTTTCACAGAAGTACTAGAAAGTTACATCAAGAACTAGAAGTGCATTGAAGTCTGTCATATATATATAGCGCATTTATATAAACAACCCAAAGAACATCAAGAAGTGTCTGATGAATATTGGCCTTGACATGGACAGCAACAATTGAGAAGAATTTATGCTTCATATTTGCATCTTAGACCAGCAATGACCAGAAAGTTTTTACCAGTTTCAGTCTCCTGTTTAAGGTAAACTGTTGTTTGATACCAAAAAGGAAATAGACAAGTATTAAATTGTTACTGAACAATTCTGTACTTGTATGATGAATAGGGTTCTCAAAATTTTGTTTTTAAGTCCAAAAAGTAATATGTTATTACTGACCCTCCTAAACTAGGATTTTCACCAATTTGAGGAGGAGAAAGGCCTCACAAGAATCTAAGCTAAAGCAAAAGTAGGAGCTTTGTTACCGGATGAAAAAAAAAAAGAGAGAGAAGATAACACATGATATCTAGAGAGACTAAGAAAGGCTTACTTATAGACTATTGTGGCCTAACTACTAGTTACAATTAACTACTGATAGACTTTAACTAATACCACCAGGTCTCTTGGAACTGTACCAGTCTGTGTCAGACCAGAATTTAGAATCTTACTAGAAACAAACCTACCTACAAGTTCTAATAACAGTTGCCTGTCACTGGTCATTGAACATAAATTATTTGAAATACAGTACAAGACTACAGTGATCATATAATTTATATATATTAGATTGCTAGTAACAACAAAATCACAACTAATGCAATGGAAATTTTCTGAATTAATTAGAAACTCAAGTGGGGAAATATAAAAAAAAAGTGACAGTAAAATAAACCAAAATATCAGCTCATGTCCAAGTATATGGTCACCATTGGTTTCAAAAATAAAGATTTAGCATTTTCTTCTGCAACAGACTGAAGTAACTCTTCAAGTATTGCTGGCTGTTCATCAAGAACACTGTGAAGAAATAGCAAAAGTACATGACTGCAACACCAAGAACACTAAAAAATTACATATCAGATGTTAAATAACTGTGAAGAATATGCAAGAATATAAAACTACAACACTAAATATATGGAAGTTCGAAGAGCAAACATTATATTAACAATGAATTATCACAAAAATGGCACATCACATTATAACATAGAGCAAAACTAAAAAGAAATCTTAAATTGAAAGTGACTTTATAGAAGTCCATGTGAGCGCATACCTGGTTGACAAATGTTCGTTGAAAAGGACTCTTATCTTCATTTAACTGCACAAAAAAGATGGACATAGGTGCTTCATATACACAGTCAAATGTTGCAACATCATTATTATAAAAGGATAAGGATCCAAAAATGTACTAGAAAGAAATCCTTATAAGGTACTTGAAAATTGCAATACTCAAGCAATGCACTCATGAGTAAGAATTGCCATGGTGGTTGGCACCTGTTGGCATGGATCGGCATTTGTCATGTCAGTACAGTACAGTTTGCCCTGATTTGGGAGTAATCTCTCCACATGTACACAGATACAACAACAAAAAAATCTAATAGCTTGAATAGGTGGACAGAACATTGAGAATTCAGAATGATATATGGCATGTACAATGTACAAAGTCCAATTGGGTTTTGGGTGTGGACTGTGGAGCCTTCTTTGATTACCTCACTATTATTACAAAGGCATCTACATTAAAAAAAGCCTTCTTTGCACATGCATAAGCAGGTAAAGAATACATGCGTTGAGCTACCAAGGAAGTAATAACCCCTAAAGAGGCTAAAGCAAGACCTAATTGAAAATGAAGTGAATTATTGATTGTTTCATAAAGACGCTTATGCTCACATCCTAATCGCCCCCTTGGAGGAATATGTGTTTTTAAAATATCTTTGACACTGTGCCAGTGTGCCCAATCCTGAAGTTAGTTCTATACATATGACCAGCAATAAGGAAAATAAATGCAATAGCAAAATGAGGATGAGCAATATCGGTCAGCCATAAACTTTGTGTTTGTGGATGAAATCCATTGAGAAGTGTTAGACTGGCAGTTCCTACTCCGTGGGAAGTGCCAAATAAATGGCTACTCAAATCAGGATTTTGGATTCCACTGACCCATAAAAAGTGGTCCCAACTGTTGAGGATAGGGTTATACATCTAAAAAATCATTCCAGCTGGCATCCTGTTCCTTGGATCTTGGAATAGGGACATGAACTAAATGTCCTGTCCAAGCCAAAGAACTCACTCCGAAAAGTCCTAACAAATGATGATTTAGACGAGATTTAGCATCTTTGAACCAGGAAACACTTGGTTTCCATTTTGGTTGTAGGTGTAACCAACCTGCTATTAAGGATATAGCAGAAATAAATAATAGAAAAAGATCTCCAGAATAAAGATCTTGATTAGTGCATAATACGATTATATTCCACCACTGATAAACAGCGGACAAAGTGTGTGCTGATTAATTTGATAATTTCTTTAACAAAACAAAAAATTCTTTTTAGGGAAGATTGAAAAGTCATTGCTTAAAGAAACAAACTGCAATGGCTAAACAGAAGTGGTGCTTCCGAAGTATCATGCCACCAACAAAGTACTTGATTGCAAGAAAATTTTCATTGCAAAGTTTCTTAAACTAACAAAGCTTTACTGGTATGAATTATCTTAGAAGACAAACCATCAAAGAAGTTGGAAAGGTCTGAGCTTTGACAACCTTCAAACATCTTGGCAACAGATGTATCTTTGCCCAATATACAGTATCTTTTTGCATATTTCTCCATCTTTCCAACATGGCCTCAGGTAACTTGCCATCAGTGGCACGATTTGGAATAATTTTTGCAAAGCCAGAGAAGAAGTTTTTTGTTTTTTATATTTTTTAGGGCCTAGTGAGAAGAAGAGTCACTTAACTTGTATTATATCAATATTACATTGTTCAAGAGAATGTGAACCTTTAAATGTGAAGAAATGGAACCTACAGCATCTCTGTGCCAACCAAAACAGTTTATAAGAAAATTCTGTTGTACCGATAAATAAACACAAAATTGCTATTGAATTAAACTCTATGACATAAAAATACATAGTATAATTTTTGTAGGGGCCAGATCAGAATGTATTATTATGTTTTTTGCATTCTTTGGTCCAATAATGTGTGCATATTGGACCTTTTGAGACAATTATAGGTCTTGGAAGGTAGTTTTGAACTTATGATTGGTCAATAAAAATAAATTTCCATGGAATTCCTTATTTATTTATTTTCTTTAGATTAGTTAATCTACATCGGAGTCTAATGAGAACAAAATATGAGAATACATTATTAGATGCCATGACATTTATCTAACTTGTGATGAGAATAAATTATCAAATGACTTTCAGGATTATGAAAACAGATTTAACATGCTTGACAACAGCAGTCAGTATTCTAGGTCTTCATTAAAAGAAGAAAGAAAAAAAAAAGATCTCAAGCCAACATGAATTCCTCGAGAGACATATTAAAGATTCTAAACCATCAACATTCTCACGGAGAAATTAAGACATTTACTAATTGACAGCACCAGAAATAGCTACGGAAAAGAAACCTAATTGGTCCAGTATAGGCCATAATGATAAAATGTTGAGTAAAAGTTGTCAATGTTCTCAAGGAGAAAATATAACTGTAATACACACCCTTAGTTACTGCCACGACATCATACAACCTAATCACCGTCCATGACCAAAATATATGGCGAACTCTCAGAAAAAAATTATTATCTCTGTCCTCAGAAGATGACCTCTTTCCAGAATTATAGAATGTTAACCTCTTTCCCGAATTAGAGAATGTTATATCATCTCTGGCTACATAGCAAATCCCAATTACATCCTTATCACCCCAGATCTAAAATGAACAAGTAGGTACCGTGAGCACACATGTGATCGTCTATTCTCCTCTTCTTAAGAATGATAAAACCAAACAAACCCAACAAACTTACGCAGCTGCCCGAATCAATTACATCCAAAAAAAGCCAAGATCTCACCAGAATCGCATTCATCTGACTGCACAAGATCTGAATTCAGCACACTCGCAATCAGCAGAGTCGATAATTCATTGAGTTTATTAAACCGACAACATCATCCATCAAGGAACAGAAAATTTAAAAGAAGGATCCGTTGACAACACGAGAACTATCGAGAACGACGATATAATCAAGATAAAGACGACCTAAGAAGAAAGACCAAAAAAATGGAACGAGATCGGCGGTGGGAATCGAAGGCAAAGACGATCAGATCTACGGGTTTAGGGTTCCTCACATCTTTGAGTTGGAGAAGACCGAGCTCGCCGAGGTAAGAAACGGCGCGGTGGGCGGACTCCACGGGGATTATGACCTGCACGAGGCTCATGTCCTCGGATCGAAGGTGATCCATCGACGGCAAATCGTCGAACAACTTCATCGCTCCACGAATCGATCGAGAAGATGTGGCATCAAAGAATCGAGGGAGGGATAGAAAGAGGAATAGCGCGAGGGGGGGCTTCAGATCTGGAGCGAGGGGTTTCGCTCTCGCCTGGTTCGATTCGCAACCGCCATTGGACTCGGAAGGTTCCGATCTCTTTCGGAGGCCAACGTGTGCGAGGCGAGTGCTTCTTGGAGGGGCCGAGCCGTCCTCAAGTGGGGAAGAAGCGAGCGATATGAGAATCCAGGAATACCCTCGCCCTCCTCCGAAACAACGAATGAGCTCTTCGCGATCTCCGGTAGCAGAAGGCTCGATCGGCAGGGGTAAAAAGGGAATTGAGTGGATTGACTCGGTTCGAATCGGTTAACCGTATCTCGACCGGGTTCGGATCGAAATAAAGATCCATACCCGTTTAGTCATTCCATATGGGTTTTATATTTTGGAGTATCTTTACATGTTTATTCTTTTAATGCTTGAAAATATCACATTTACCCCTTTATATTTTAGTATAATACATATGCCTCCAAATATTTCTTGTAATATATATAAAGGAATAGATATGGAATCATATCATCAATATGTGTTTATTTTTATATTAATATGTAAATTATACATTGACATATTTCAAAATTGATTTCAAACCTCAATTTAATAAATTAACTCAAAGTGGTTATTATCTTATTTATATCCATATCTTTATCCTACAAATTTTTCGAATATTTCAACTAACTTAGACTTGGAAAGATTGATTGATGTCTATAATAAAAATATTTTGGCATTGTGAACTAATTCTGTATAACTTATAGGGAGCATATGTTAACTTCTTGCTTAATATTCTCATATGATTGATTGATTGATTGATTGATATATTATTGTAAATATAGGTATTAGGTTTTGAGTTTATGTGTGAATGTCTTCTAATCCATTTAATCTAATGAAAACATTTGTTTTTTAATTCTCATTTCATATCTATTGTGATGGAAGAAATCTTCTCCGCCAATAACGACACGATTAATAATTAGTCAAAAACAATGATCAAAGATTCATTAACATTTGATAATTTTTTTCAAATTATATTTGGTCTCGATGCTATATTGTAAGTTCTTTACCTTAAGATAACATCAATATTTTAATATTTACGAGATGCTAATATAATTTTTTAAAATATCTTATCGTAAGATTGCCAAAGAAATCAACATGATTTATATCTTCTATGAAATAAAATTTTATTTTTATTTATTTCTAAAAATTATTTTATATTCATTTATATGATTATATTTTTTTGTTTATTATATTTTTGAACCATACTAAAATTTTTATAATATTACATACATACATACATTTATTTATTTATTTTTTATTTAATTTAAATAATAAAAAATATACTTATGAATAAATATCAAAATATTAGAAGTATAAATTTATCACATAATATTCAATTGACTTTCGAAATATAATTCTACTAAATAACACCTATGTGATCAAATAGCATTCCATAATTATACATTCACGGGTACTCTTTTCTTTTCTTTGAATGCACGTTAGTAATACAAATATGTTTCCCAATATAACTTAAATTTATTATAAAAAATACGTTCATATAGTAATTGATAGCATATAAGATTTTTCTGACCGAGAAAATCTCTATACTCTGTTAAGGAAAATCCTCCCTCCTAATCTGCATAAATAGGAGATGATATGCTTAGTAGAACCGACTCGATCATCAGAATAAGTAGATTGGACAATCCATCGAATTTTAATCTTTATGTAGATCAATCGAGAGCATGTCTCTAAGTCCATCTCAATCCTCGAAGAGCGTTCGAACTAACTATCGACGATATCATCTCTCTTATTCTTATGCATGCTTGATGTAGTATTAATACACTTTGAGATGAGGGATCAACTTGTTTGACTTATCACTAAGTAAACCCAATTTGTCTCCGAATCCCATCCGAATCCTATCATCATAAAAGTGGCCCGTCGTAAGTAAAACATACTAAGTTTGGGAAACTTCAATAGCTACGAGTGATCGTAATTAAATGTCCAACTATAAGATTTGCTAATGCTTATACTTTAGTTTAGAACATGTCATAATTTAACGAATAAAGTAGAAAATCGAAAGTCACATCATAATGGAGAAAGTGTAAATCACCAGATTTATTCCTTATTTTATTAAACTAAAAATTATATAGCTAACATTTTATCTTGGTAGAATAATTTGTTTCTTATAGGTATATTTCTTAATTTTGAAATAATATACAGGCATTAAGATAATTTCTTAATTTGATTGAGAAAAATTGGAATAATAAAATTAATTATTCAAACATTAATTTTGAAAAATTAGAAATTAAGATTTATGTCATAAATGGATTTTCCCTCATCATATATCTCAGTCGGACAAACTCTTCGTTCTCCTTCGTTCTAACTAATGATAAGCTTGAGAACAGTAAGTCTTTCATTCAAATTCTTTAATTTTAATTTGAATATCAATTGACTTATGTTGATAAGAATAAAAATAATTTTGGAATTAACTAATGTCAAGCTTTCAAAAATTAAGACACGTGAAAAATATCAAAATTATATTTTAATCGATAGATATTTTGAATTCTAAAATTAAAATAATGATAATTTTTGAAAATTTTGATGCGCAAAAGTTATCTATGTTTTAGTTCATACAAATCTGATGAATTTTGGATGCATGAAAAGTGTTCGATTTATGTTTTAACTGATAGAATTTTGGATTTCGAAATTAATTAATGGTAAATTTTTGATGCATGATAAATTTATAATTTACTATGTGATCTCAAATTTCTATCGTAATTAGAAAATTGATTTGTTATTTTATTTAAGTAATATCAATTGTTTTGTTTAAGGGCCATGTTAATTAGATTGAATTTAATCAATGATATGTCACACATTATCGAATTATTATTATTATTAATTGTAATAAATTAAAATTGTACTATTATGTCACTACTCGGTCTAATCTGATCAACCTTAGTTTTGGTTAGGTTTTAGTTAGGCTTAGATCGAGTATACTCCCATTAAGATCAATTTTGATTATTTCAAACCACTTCAAGTTCTTTATGAGCACTAATTTAATAAGATCAAGTTTGAATTGATTGATTCTAATTAAGTTAGACCTTTTCAATTGTGTTTTATGCAAAGTGAGACTTTCGTACTTTCTAATTTAAAGAATTTAAAAGATTTTAATTGAAAAGTCTGCACTGATTAAAAAAAAAAAACATTGACTAATTTTAGTTCGACATATAATATGTATAAATGTGATTATACATATTATACTAATTTGTAGTAGAATTGTGTTAGTGGGCGAAAGATATCACTTCATCCGTAGTTATAAATACGTCTATTACGAAAAGAATAATAATTAATTTAGATAAAATATTTTTATCTATTGTCGGGATAATGCATCGTTTAATATCAACGGATCATTTTTAATATTTGAGTCATTTAATATGATTGTTTAAACACTCGAGCCTTTCGAAGAATTTTATGATATAGATTGTTGTTATCACAAAATCCCAAGTATTTAATAGATAATTAGATTAAAAAAATAGTTGAATAATTTTTTATGAAAAATCTCACAGTTTTGGAATTTTGTTTTTAATGAATAGCATCATTCGTTTCCAAAATGCCTAAAAGAGCTCATACTTCTTAAATTGATAAAAATGTCCCATCTAATTTTCTATTGAAACAAGCTAAATTGGATTTGGTGTTAAACATAATTGATTATTGCATTTTTGAATAAAGTTATAATGTTATTGGTTCAATCGATATTTTTTAATAAGATTATATTATTTTTTTATTACTATAAGTCAAAACATCCATAACTCCATTCAAAAATACTATAAACAAAAAAAATGATTTATATTAAAAATAATATTAGTCCAAATTAGATTTGGATGAAAATTTATTTTAATATTTTTATAAAGAGAATGAATTAGCTTTCATAAATATAGAATTTTAATGCAAAGGATAAGTGGGGAAGACAAAATTTTATAACTCCATTCAAAAATACTATAAATAAAAAAATTTATGATTTTATTGAAAAATAATATAATACCATATCAGTTTAATCTAAATTTGATTTAGATAAAAAAAAATTATTTTTAAGAGTATTTTAATCTTTTAACAAAGAGAATGTATTGTCTTTCATAAATATCGAAAGGCGGGAAATTTTTTTTATGCACAGGATAAGTAGTGAAGATAAAAGTCTATAACTTTATTCCAAAATGCTATAAACAAATTTTATAATTTTATCAAAAATAATATAATATTATATCAATTTAGCCTAAATTGGATTCATATGAAAAAATATTTTTTAATGAAAAGAATGGGCTGTCTTGCATAAAAATAGAAATTAGTTGTTTTTAATGAAAAGAATGCACAGGAAACCCATAGTTGTTTTTTTTTCAATGTAAAGAATAAATGGCGAAGGCAAAATTCTATAACTTCATTCAAAAATACCATAAATAAAAAATCTTATGATTTTATAAAAAATAATATCAGTTTAGTCTAAATTAGATTTAGATAATTTTTTAAAATATCTTAATATTTTTATAAAGAGATTGAGTTGTCTTTTATAAATATTGAAATGCCGGGCGGGAGATGAGAAAAACCTATAGCCGTTGATATTTTTTTTTTTATGTATATGATAAGTGGCGATGGTGAAATTCTATAACTCAATTCAAAAATGCTAAAATAAAAATTTTATGATTTTATGATTTTATGATAAAAGATAATGTAATAATACCATATCATTTTAGTCTAAATTGGATTTAGATGAAAAATTGTGTAAAATATACTTTAATCTTTTTATGAAGAGGATGAGTCATTTTTAATAGATATAAAAATGAAGAGTGGTAGACGAGAAAAACCTATAGCTATTGAGTTTTTTTTTTAATGTAATTTTATAGCTCTATTAAAAAAAATACTATAAAATTTTTTTAATGATTTTTTAAAATAATATAATATTATATCAATTTTCTATAAATTGCATTCAGATGGAAAATTATTTTTATAACAAATATTTTATTCTTTTTATAAAGAGTATGAGTTGTCTTTAGTAAATATATAAATGATAGGAGGGAGATGATAAAAACCCATGACTATTATTATTTTTGATACAAAAGATAGGTGACGAAGGTGAAATTATATAACTCCATTCAAAAATATTATAAATAATTTTTTTTATCATTTTATTCAAATTGGTTTTAGAACAAAATTTATTTTTAAAAAATATTTTA